CGAAAGAGGCACGCCCGTACCTCTCGCGAAAGCACAACCGTGCCTCTGGCGGAAGCAAAACCGTGCCTCTCGTGAAAGAAAAAAAACAGAAAACGCGTTTTTTCCCTTTCCGAAAGAGGCACGCCCATGCCTCTCGCGAAAGCACAACCGTGCCTCTCGCGGAAGAAAAAAAACAGAAAATACGTTTTTTTCGTTTCCAAGAGGCACGGCCGTGCCTCTCGCGAAAGCACAACCGTGCCTCTCGCGAAAAAAATGCATTTTTTGCGCAAAAAAATGTTTTTTTTTGGAAAAAAAATTGGTCGAAAAGCTAGGGAAGACCGGTAGAAAACCAAAACGTCAAAAAAACCCGGAAAAAAACCTTTTAAAAAGCCGAAAACTCATACGTAAAAATAATTAAAAAAATTCGAAGGGAGCGCCCAGAGCGCGACACGTGACGAATGGATGTGAGCGCGCCAAGTGGCGCTGATCGTTGCTAGGCTCCCGAAGGAGCGCTTGTTAATTTGTTGCTCCCACGTTTGTGAGCTCAAATTTGCCAAGATCGGCTGAAGATGCTCTAAGAACCATCATAAGAGCTCTTCATATCGACCTAGTCGAGACATAATAACCATCAGTGCAAAGGATTTTGTCTGAAAAGGTCACTCTAGCAGAGTCAATCATCTGACCCTCAGCCTGTAGAATATAGGGGGTGTTTGGTTTAGAAGTCCTAGGACTTTTTCTAGTCCCAGGGACTAATCAAAAAAGACTCTCTAGTAGAGTCTTTTTCTAGTCCCTATAGAAAAAGTCCCTCCCGTTTGGTTCCTAGGGACTTTTTAGAGACTTTTTCTAGTCTCTGGGACTAAAAAGTCCCTGAACCAAACACCCCCATAATCCTTTTCCTTCCGTGTGCAGACCGCTCAGTAGCGCCGCGCCGTGGCATTTTGCATCTGTTTCCCGCCCGCACGCAACAAATCCGCCCCTATTTCCAGTCGGGGCCCATTCAAGGGTATAATCACCCCCCATTGACAATGTTGGTGCGGCCACGCCCTTCCCACGGACCTTTCCTTGGCGAAAGTTCTAAGCGCATGCCTGAAAGCTAAATCAGCCATCGGTCGCGCCCCCTCTCTGGGGTACTTAAAGTGCATGTCTCATGCGAAACCGGAAAACGCCGGTCTTCAAGTCCCACATCCAGAGGGAAATGGATGCTGCCTCATGCTCATGCCGACCTTCAGGGATGTGCCGACCTTCAGGGATGTGACCTTGTCCCACATACACACAGGCATTCAACAAATGTGTGGACGCAGCCAACACGTTGGTGTGACGGGGCAAAGACGTTGGGCTTAATCCCAGGTAGAAGCACCATAAGCTGGTACTGATTCTGTGGACCTTTAGGCCGGAAAGGCCCATTAGGGCATGTACAATGGTGGCATATAGATACACATGCCCCATGACAAAAAATAATTTAAGGCATCTACATTTATTTTTTCTCGCCAATGCAAGCTATCACTAGTGGGCCTTATTAAGAAATAGAAAATAAAGACTTTAGTACACATGCATCTCTATTTTTCACTTCAACCTTTTCAGTTTTTGTCACCGGACCACACTTTTTCTCTTCAAGCACCCGCCTCCTGAGAGGATCCCGCTTCCCTATCTGAAGCTACTTTACGTCAATCCGATCCTACGTGGCATGTGAGGCATCACCTTGAGGCTATGCATTATACATGCCCTTAACAGAATGGTCGGAAAGAACCGTGCAAAGTTGCCAATATGAAGCCACACCCAAAAAAAATCCCAGGCAAGAGTGACCTTGGTAATCTAATCTCCTTTGCATCAGTAACAATATTGGTTGCAAAATAAACAAATGGGATAACAATCTTTAGCCCTACAACAATCAAATCGGAAGTAGCACATAATAATGATACACAATCTAGTCGCCTAAACCGCCACCCACACCTTGTAAGGCCTACGCCCCCTTCAAAAACGGATCCATTACACATAAGAGAAGAACAGGTACGGTAGCTTTGTTAAATAAGACCGTCTTTCCCGCAAAGCCCCTACGGCCACAACTATCTTGGCAGAGAGAGATGCTCTAGGTTGTCTTGGACTTGGGGGCCTTCTTCTTGGCCTGCCTCTTGGGGACCGAGTTCTTCATGCCCAGGAAGAAGAGAAGGGCTCCAAACAGTGCCAGGTTCTACAGTTAAAAGGGATCACGAGTGGTTAGCTACCATGGGACATTCCTTGTTCAACAGACATGCAAAAACAGGTGAATATTTGCATCATACCTGTGTGAACTTCATGAAGATCTGCACGAATTCAGCCTTCTCCATGTCGTAGTTGTAGAAGTCGTAGACAACAGGCGTGATGAAAGCAAGGTAGAGGGCCTGCCGAAACAAATACCTTTCATTAGAAAAGCGCACAACTAAGGAAGCAGAGACATAGCAAACGCAGCACATATGAACGTAGTGGGAACAGGATTGGTAATTCATAAGGTCTAAGGTGACTAAAACTTCAATGGGTCACACTTATCATATCACGGTGTCCACAGAAACAAATAAGGAAGTTAAGAATCGTGTACTCATTAGGACATCATACAGCAAAATGTGCGCAAAAGCAGCACCAGATAGAACCATAATATTCACAAGTCACAATTAAATGGGCAAACAAGCAGAATGCAGGTTTTGATAATATCTGCAGCGCATTTATATCAGAAGCCAGGATGGTACCAGATGGGCAAACCACAACAGTGACATTAGGCACTTGCCAAAACATTAGAGGAAACAAGTGCAGACGACAAGGAGTACTTTACAAAATGTACACATCTTGTAATATAAACAAATGGTATGGGAGTATAACAGTTCCTGAAAGCAAAACACCATGAAATTTAGAAGAACAAAATCTTTGTGGCCAGATTTGATAGATCTAGAAGAACAGAAATGCAGTTGCCCTAGCTAGGTGACCAGTAGTCTAAAGCAATATGCTCTTGTTTAAATTCAAAAGAACAGCCAAATGACAATGCCTAATGCAAGATAATATTCAGTAGCTTTTCGGTAGCAAATATTTATGAGATAAATGGCGATATTTGAATACAATGAAATAAGGCATTTGTGCATGCACGACCCTACATTACTATGGAGTATAGCACAAGAGAAATTCCCTCATTACTCTAGATATGAAAATCAATTTTAGCCATGTACACTTGACATAAATGGAATGCGTAGATCACAACAAGAAATACTATACAGCGTAACAACAGATCAGTACATACCAGGAGATAAGCACCAAATGAACTGCTGACGATAAACAGGAGACCTCCCAGACCCTTCAGACCAATGGTAGCGGCAATAACATGCTTCAACTGGATAAATTAAACACACAAAGCTAACTAATTAATGACTGGTTAAGATTCAGACCACCTACAGTATATACCATGAATAAAGTAAATTTCACCTCTACATGAGGCACCACCACTCCGAGGTGTACGGAGATATTTTTGGTGAAACTGTTAAACTTTGGCTGCAGATTCTTTGCAGCTGGCCCGCCATCAGTTCCAAATTCAGTAAACCTGCAATAAAAATACCTTAAAAATCAATAAGCATTGAAGAATATACTTTTCTCAAAACTTAATACGTCAGCATATAACAGGTAGAATAGTACAATCTAATTCATGCAGTCGTAACAGCTTCTGAATACATAACTGATCAGATGGCATCCAAGCTAGTTAAGAGAACTTCCATATAATCCCACATGTTCCGTACTGTTCCCATTAAGCCATTCAGCAGCAGTAAACTAGGTGCAAACAAAAGGTGGCTACTAGCACTAATCCCTTGATCAAGTCAATATGTCATGATGGAAAGTGGGCTGCAACTCACTCTATGACAAAAACTCAATCCGGTAGGAAGACTCCAGATAATTCACGATGCAATGGTACAAGTCATCAGGCAACTAAGGACATGAAAGCAGCAATGGAGATGCAACCAATCTAACAACTGACTTTTGCCTTGTTTCAAAAAAAAAAATCTAACAACTGTAGCACGCATAGACCATGAGGATAATGACCAGAGTCTTGCTAGTAATTATAGGCATGAGACTACACACGAACAAAACACAATTTGACATTGGAATGTACATATAAGACAACGACATTGGGATGTACATATAAGACGACTGGTCCACGATATTTACGACGCTACTAGAGCAACCACGCTAACAAGTCTCATGCTCACAAGATGAGACAGCGTGAACGAAAAGAAAGCATCTACATAAATTTCAAACATAAATTACATAGATCAATGACGCAATTGAGCGACCCAAGGTTAGATCAGAGCACGCGGAAACAAAATTCTGGGCGCTGTTATTCGCATGGACCACAACGAAGCGTGACGCCAGATCCAGGCGCCTCACGACCCGAGACCCTACAAAACGCACTATCCATCACGAGATCCAAAGGCCAGGGCGTACCCTGCCCACACGCTCCCCGGATACCGCCAGCGCCGCAACAGATCTGACGAAACCAGGCTAGGATCGACCGCGGCGACCGAGCAACGACGACAATGGAGGTAAGCGGATAGGGAGAAGGGAGAGGGGAGGGGGGCGCGTACTCCTGGTAGGCGGAGAGGAGGAAGACGGAGGCGAAGAGGACCCTCCCGGCGAAGGACACGAACCCCATGTCGACCGGCGGCGGCGGTGAGGCGAGTCGAGCGACCGGCGGGATGCGGTGGGGGAGGGGGGAGCCGCGGCGCGACCTTGGGAGCTCTCGGAATCTGTGATGGAGACGGCCCGTGTCGGAGCCCCACTCCGTACTTATAACGCGACGCGCCTCCGGTTTGGATCTCCCCGGATTTACCCTCGAGTCCTGCCGTATTACGCACAGGACCCCGGTCATGGTTGCTTTGATTTGAGTTGGGAAAGTAGAGATATGTTTCTGGAAAGAAATAAACTCGAATTGGTTATGTTTGAGAATTCAAAATTAATCTGATTTAGACCTTATCTGATTCTTTCCGATATTGCATTCTTTCCGAGTGGATAGTTAATGTGCCTCAATGAAGATTCAAAGTAGTTTGTGTTGAAAACTGCAAGGTGGGGTATTACTAGGCTAATGTCGCAACTTACATCACACTAATGAGATCACTCATGATTGAACTACCAAAAAATCAGTACAAAATTAAGCCATGAACATAATGATGGTTTGCAATCACTGCATTGGCATTATTTCAACAAATTTAGTAAAATACTAAGATCTTGAAGCGTTTGACATTTCCTCTTACCCCTCTCTTTCTCTATTGGGGCTCGTGTAAAATAGGTAAGCTTTTGAAGAAAAGAAAAACAAAACGGCTTGTATTGGAAGTTGAAACCAAGTTGTTTTCTCATTAACCTTGTGGGATTACTTTGCATTTTCCTCGTGAAAAGACGATGCACCTTGGTGAATAGTTGCTCGTATTGATAATGCATAGTGGGGTATCGGGTTATCATGTTGGTCATCACATATTTCTTTTAATAGAATGTGTTTGAGTTAATCTACCCAACATGGTATGGAATACGTGATGATGGAACTAACAAGTATCCAATGCAAGCCTACAACACGCATGAACGTGATCATGATTTTGTGGCCACATCATTGACAAGCCTTTTTAATGTCTTTTAGCTAACCATCGCCTTGGAATACAATCTTCAAGTGCTCCTATTTCCCTTTACCCTTTTGTGCATTTAATTTAATTTCTATATGTTTCCTTTCACATCTTTATGGCTTGATGGACCAATGGTCGTATGGACCACCACCTTATCCTTCTATTTCTAGCACTCGTCGTGATTTGCCTTGTCATGGGGCCAGTCGAAGCAATTGAGACTCGTAAAAAAATGCTAATAAAAGGCGCTAAAGGGAGACAGTCTAGTTGGCATATGGTGTAGCATCCCCTAAATTCACACTCCACACAAATTATGAGGTACCGACATTCGCATGCATCTTGTCAAGTAAGTTTACATGGCAATGTCCGTGAATTTTATGCGGCAGAAGATTGCACTTGGAAGATAAAAATGAAGGTAACAATGTGTTTTTTGGTGTCAAATCTGAAGTGCTGGATTTGAGTTTCGGGTGCTTTGGTTCGAAGTTTCTCACATCGAACCCAACCAAAGGTACTGATTTCTTCTTGCTAGTTTCAAACAAAGTTCTCCTTTTGCAAACATTTACCATGTGGGCTAGCCAGCTCAGGGTGGATTAGACAAGTTGTATTAAATGAACAGAGATAAAAAAAGGTAGTGGGACGTGGAACCATAAATATTCACGAACTAGGCATTTCTAGAAATGCTTGCACCAAAGGGGAAACACATTGGTGCATCTACGGAGCTTATATGAGATACCATGGGAATATGGCAGAATCCAATATCTATTAGACATGCAACAACACTGGAGATTGTTGGCATCATGCACTTGTTGGTTGTAACATGGCCAAAACTGTGTGGTTACTTATGTACGAGGAGCTTGTGGAACATCTTATTGCCTGCAATTTGCCTGATGTGAGGGTATGGTTGATGGAGCTCATGAAAACAACAGAGGAAGAATTTATCAAGATATCGATGGCCCTATGGGTTATATGTTGGGCTCGTCGGAAGGAGATCCATGAACATGAATTCCATCCACCTTTGACCACATTCAGCTTCATTGAAAACTACCTAGGGGGGCTTGCACTGGTTCTCGGTAGGTAGGCGTTTAGTTAATCAGCAAAAAACTAACGTCTCATTCCTAATACAGGTGAGAAGGGGTTGGAAACCATCTTTTCAGGGTGGCATGAAGATCAATGTCGACACTGTTGTTGCTAGAAATCAAGATAAGGGTTCTCTGGCGATTGTATGTCGGGTCGAACGGGGAAGCTATCTTGAGTCCTGCGATGGATTCAGGACCTAGTTCAGCTAGAAACGTTTTCTCTGGCCTCTAACATGTACGTGAGCGGAATTCACATAGCGAGAAATTGTGTGGCTACTATTAATCGTATTAAAGGTGAGTATCGTGGTACGAACAATGTTATTATTTGAGAGTAAAGACCGAAGATGAAGGATTTTGTTAAAGTTCATGTCCAGCATGAGAAGAGAGAGCAGAATTGGGAAGCCAGTTATCCTGCTAAGTCTTATGTTACCTTAGAGTTGGGGCGCCATGTGTGGCTTATACCCCCCTGATTTCATTTGTATGCCACATTCTGTTATGGTTGAATAAAAGTCATCCAACACCAAAAAAGCACGATGCAGCTTGCACAGGGGGGTTCCTTGGAAATAATAATAAGAGGAAAATAAGCAAGCGGGTTCCCGTAAAAGAAATAAAAAGTCCCCAAGCCAAACAGTTACTCCTTCCATTCCTAAATCTAATTCGTGAACTTCTAGGTTTGTCATAAGTTAAATTTCTATAAGTTAAACAAGCTTAACTTAGAAAAAAACGAAAACATGAAAATGGAGTGGCGGAGCTTTATGGGGGCCCATCCGGACCACCCCCCTCCCCCTCCCTTATGTGAACACAAGCCTATATCCTTTTGTATCAGGCAAATTTTTCACTAAAAACAGTTGTAAACAACTATGTATGTTTGCCCCCCCCCCCTAAACCCATGGCCCCGCAGAGAATATCCATTTGATGATTTTTTTTTTACATAAAACCATCACAAAAACCCCGAGAACATCAATTATGTTGGAATGCAGGGAGTGGCAAGGTTTAGCCTCGGAGAAAAGGTACTCGACCACACAAAATCAAATCTATATTCCGAGGAGAAAATTGTGCTTTATACCCGTGGCATTGGGCAGGGAAGCTCCAAGCGTTTTACGAGAGAAAGAAGTCAGCCGCAATTTCGAAGAATACGAGGGCCAGTCGCGCATTTTACTCGCCAGGCTGGCACGGGGCGCCGGAAGTACCACCGGATCTCGCTGAAATTTCGGCCGGATGCCACCCATTACTCTTCTACTACCAATCTCTCTCCCCGCCGGCCCGATCCCCTTCCGGCCCCGCGGCGCGTCGGCCGCTGCGAAAATTTTGAATCCGGAAGCGCGTCCGCGTGTACTAGTTCTGGAGCGAGGAGGAGTGCCCCCGTCGTGGGGCGGGATCGGATATGGGATTGGGATGGACCACCCCGATCGAACCAATCGGTGCGGGTCCGCTGACACGGCGGGGGCCACGCACAGAGCCCGGCGTAAATGCTTTCTCGCTTTTATTTACCACCACTGTTCCTTTCCAGCTCTATCTATCCAGGATCCAGCCGGTTCGACTTTCCGGGATAGAAATATCCAGGTCGACTGCCCCGTCCATTGAAAAAAAGGTGGCCGACGGCCGACGATGTGTACACGCAGATTTTTCTGTTAGACCTACCGATGACTGATGATAGCGAGTCCGTCGAAACGTGTTTGAATGACTGTGATCGTTGCTAAGACTCGTATTGTTTTCGCACGAAACAACGTATCTGACTGGCCTTCGTGTGGAGGCACGCAGTCTACGACGTTGACCGTATAGCAGACAAGCAAGACATCCGTGGCAGTCGCGACAAAGTTGGGTGGATCGGAAGCACTTATTAGTCACTGTAACACTGTAACAACCCTAGCCTCCGGCGACTCCACTGGCGGCCGCCGCCGCCGCCACCGCGCATGGCCCCCGTAGCCCCCGCCGCTTCCCCCGCCGCCGCCCCTCCCCCTCCCCCTCCCAGCCCGGCCGGGGATGAAGGCCCTGACCCGCGCCCCTCTCCGGCGGTCGCTCTTTTCGCCCCTGCTGCTCTGGCCCCGGCGCCGGCCGCTCCGGCCCCTGCGGCTCCGACCCCGGCGCCCGCCGCTCTGGCCCCGGCCGCCCCGGCTTGGGTGGAGGCTGGGAGACAGCGCCGCCTGAGCCTGGAGAAGGTGGCTGCTCCCCCTCCCAGGAAGGATGCTGGACTGCTTCGCACTTTCAAGCAGAGGACTTTCGGCCTCTGCTTTCGGTGCTTTGCGTCGGACCACTTCGTTGTGGGCTGCCGCGGTCCTGTCCGGTGCTTGGGATGTAGCCACTCCGGCCATCGCGAGCGGGAGTGCTTGGCACGGCATCCTGCCGGTTCAGAACCTCGTCGTCCCCCCCTCGCGCCTATCGGGCCTCGTCAGCGGCCTCCCCCCTGCAGCGGATCGCCTCCAGCCCCACTACATCGTCCTGGTCGCACTTGGGCTTCGGTGCTTTCTCATCAAGACAGCCCTGCGACTGATGGTGTCGTGCCGGCGGCTGACCCCGGCGTGCCCCCTGCTGTTTTGGAGCCATTGCGGCCTCTCCTTGCAGCTCAGACGGAGGCGCTTGGCGCTGAGCTTCAAGCCTTGTTCGCTGCTCGTCTTGAGGTGCTGTTCAAGCCTCTTCAAGACTTGGTTGCTGCTGTGGAGAGTTGGACTGCTCAAGTCTCAAGCCTATGGGAACCTATGGAAGCTATCGGGGGCAGCCAAGACCTTGCCAATGTTGGATCTGCTCCTCCTGTTGTGGCCGTTGGTGAGGATTATAGTGCGCTTGTTGTGGCTGGCTGCTCAGCTGAGTTGAGTGAGAAGGCTCGGTCCGTTGATGATCCGCCTGCCTTGGAAAAGGTCATGCTCGAGGATGATCCTCCTAACTTGGCTTCTGTCCTACCCGGAATGGTGAGTCAAGGCGTGGAGGAGCGGGCCAAGGTGTCTTCTTGTTTTGGCATGGTTATGTCTGAGGTGGAGCCTGTTGAGCAGTCGACAGTGGAGGAGCCGAAGGTCTCCAGTGCCCCTTGCACTGGGAAGCCTTCAAAGGAGCTGATCCAGATGGATGCAGATGAGCCTCTTGGGAGAGCCTCCTCTCAGTGGGGGGAGTTCCTCGAAGAGCTTGCTCTCACTGTGTCGAGCTCGCCGCAAGTTTTGCAGGTGGGAGAGGCTGCCCCTTCTCTCTTAGAG